TTAAAAAGCCTCGACCCCCACACTTCCGCGGGATATACAGTCTCATCACCGACGATCGCGGGTGATGCATTCGGTATGCAGTCAGCATTGTTCGGACCCGCCTATCCAGGGCGTCAAGTTCGGTTTGAGACCATTTGAGTACGCCGAAAGAGTACATCAATACCGGCATGACCCAATCGTTGAAAGCTCGCACCTTGTTTCCGCCTGAAAGAAAGCTATTAAATACCTTCTTCAGGCGACCAAAGAAACGCTCCTTCAGCGATTGCTTCATGTCAGTGACATTGATGCCTAAAGCTTCCGACATACCCAAATACTTATAGGTTTCGGTTGTGGAGAGGGACCTCAGGTTTATGGAATCCGTGAGTTGAGTGCCCACAGACTCCACAATCTCCCCTCGTTTGACATGCATGACCGCACATTTGTCCACACCAAACTCCATCCTGATGGCACTACTGAAGGTTTCAGTAAGCTTGAGTAGCTCCATCAGTTGCAGCCTGTTGGGGGCAAAAAGCTTCAAATCATCCATGTAAAGGAGGTGAGATATAACCTGACCACCTCTCTTCAACCGGTAGCCTAGACCTGAATTCTCCAGCAATGTGCTAAGAGGATTCAAGGCTAGGCAGAACCAAAGCGGACTCAAACTATCACCCTGGAATATACCCCGCTCGATCCTTACAGTTTCGCTATTCGTTTGGATATGTCGACATCCCGGATAGCGAAGGACCGTACTCCATTGTCTCATACAGGACATCAGGAAGGTGCGTAGTTTTGTATCGATTTTATATAATTCCAGCACCCTCATGAGCCATGTATGAGGGACAGAGTCATAGGCCTTCTTATAATCTATCCAACATGTCGACAGATCCTTTCGGGAACGTCGAACCTGTTGGCTAATGGTCATATCAATGAGGAGTAGCTCCTTAGTACCGCGGGACCCGCTCTTACATCCATTCTGAGCAGTTGACATAATGTTATTTTTGTCAATATGGCTATTTATTTTACTTCTCAGTATGGATGTAAGAGCTTTATAGACCGTCGGCAGACAGGTGATCGGTCTATAATTTTTAGGTTCCGTAGTACTACCTGATTTATGGAGCAGGTGGGTTACTCCTGTTGTTAGAAACTGGGGCAGCGACCCTGACTCTAGGGCAGCCTGGAATTGAGATGCTAAACGTGCGTGCGATCTTGTGAACCACTTAATCCAGAAATTGTGCAGTCCATCCGGTCCTGGAGATTTCCAGTTAGGCAATGGACGGACTGCACGAGCAACATCTTGGGGGCTGATGTTAATTGCCCCCATTTGTGGTATTGGATCACACGCGCGTTCGACCTCCCGAATCCAGTCACCCTCAGTGTGACTGACAGGCACCGACCAGATGCTGCGCCAGAATGAACACATGGCGTCATCATCCGGGAGGCGCGTGTCAGTCACACCTTGGTCCGGTCGCTCCCAAGCTCTATACACCCACCTTTCATTACTCCGGAATGTGCGATTCTGGGTGTATCGTTGAACCCGTCTCTTGTACCGTCGAATACGGTTTGCCCATGCATACACTTTCTGCTTCAGGAAGTCGATGCGCTCTGTGATCCGGGACATATAATCTTGGGGGCTGATGTCTGTCCCCGAGAATGCCCGTCTCACAAAGCGCATCACTCTAGGGCGAGTATTACCCTCCCTGAAGCAAATTAATTTGCCAATGAGTGCTCTGGCCCCGGCAATACGAAGCTCAATCCTGCGCTGCCAGGCCGGTACAGCTAGTTTTGGTCGTGTGGCTACGTTACTGGTTGGGAGTTTGACGTGAGCCACACGACATGCCGCTACGGCCGCGCAGTACATCATCGAGTGTATATCACCGAGGTCTTCGCAGTCATCAAAATGATTAGACAACTGCGAATCCAGAGCAGCCACCAGCGCTTTATTCTTGTTATGCATGGGCAAACGAGGTAAGCGTGGTCTAAGTTCGGGTGACATGTAGCGATATTCCCGAATCGCACACTCCAAAGCACTCCTCATTTCGTTACTGCACTGGGTACTTACGTATGCAGCTGTGTCAGTGCTTTCCTCATCAGCGGCGGTACCAACAATACCGTGGTTCGACGGTGGCACCATCGCTGGCACCACGGTCCGCGACGAGGAGGCACTGGCACGGCTACCCATTTCCGTTCGGAGGCGATCAAGTACAGTATCGTCCAGCATACGGTTACGCTGGATGACCCGCACCTGATCCGACAGTCGTTGAGCTGAAACGTTGACGGCTGGCTCAAGCACCTGAAACAGAGAGAGCATCCGAACACGGTACGCGGTCAGGTTGTTTCCTCCCTCTGTAGCCCCATAGTATGCGCGCATGACGTTTTCATTTATTGATTGCGTCCATCGCATGCGCTGCACACTTCCGTCGGCGGCTGGGACCCTATCAGAAGCCGATGGGCCTCGAGGTCCTAAACCTGCCGGCGGCCGGCGTCCTCCCCGGCGACGCGTAGGTGGTGGTGTCGTCGGCGGTGAGTAGTACTCGTCGCTGGAGCTCGACGCAGCTGCCGCGGCCGGTGTCACTTCACTCACGATGAGGCTGGATCCCGGCGGCGGCGAGGCGGAGCTGAGCGACGAGGCCGGAGGTGGTGGGCGTGCACGGCGTGCTGCGGCTCTTGTCAACATGGTCTCAGCAGACGTCCTTTTTCCTCTTTTTCATATTAACTATTTATTGTTCCGTTTTCCACATGTTTTTGTTATTATTATTTTGATTTCCATATTCCGTTTGTATTTATATTGTTTGTCAGCCGTATTTATATTATAATTTAATAAAAATGTTTGCGAGAGAAAAAATTATGATCTGTCTTTTTGACATCGAGCCATAGAGTTATTTTTATTATTAGTATATCAGAAACGTAGACTGGTCCTAATATTTTAGATAAAAATATTTGAGTTCGGTATGGCAGCCATTATAATATGTCTATGAATGTTTGCAAAATTTTGAGTACCTAACAAATGAAAGCAGTTATAGTTAATGTGTATCGACTACATTCCAGTTGGATTCGATTTGGAAAATTTTCACACACACTAAACGAACGCTGGGGTTCGCGCGCCTATGGATTATCTTACTATTGTGTCTCGAATTACCCCGATTGAAAGGTTAAGCAGGATAACCAGTCGTTTTGGTGTTAACTATAGAGCTCCTTAACATCACACATAATATAATTTCAAAAGATAACAATTTTTAACCGACTTCCAAAAAGGAGGAAGTTCCTCAATTCGACCGTATATATGCTTTTTATGTTTTTAACGGATACCTTTATACATTCCCGATCGATGAATAATTTTCGTAATTACTACGCGAATGCTGTGTAATACTAAATACAGCATAATATGTTAATTTTAAATTAGTGACGTCTGACTCAGACCTTATAGTTTGTAATTCACCAGACGTGCCAATTATATCGATGATGTTATGCATTTGCGGGACAAAAGCGATTTCGTTCTTTTGTTTAGGATTTTTTTTAAACTACTCCTGACCAACCCCGTCTTCGAACACTACTTAAGGGATGAATATTAAACTTCCTATTCTGTCTGTTCAAAAAACTGCATCAATATCCGTTGCGTAGTTTCAAATATTTAAGCATACATAGGGATATAGGGACAGAGAAAGCGACTTTGTTTTCTACTATGTAGATATTTATTTAGACTTTTGCACATACATCTGTGTACAAGGTGGACTTAATGCTACAGGCATTCTCTCTCAGTCGAACCTTTGGGCGATGCAGAGATAACAGAAGGTGCAAGAAGCAAGCAGTAAGTGCAAAGGTAGTGATAGAGAAGAGGCAGTTTGTGGGCCACCTGATGGTAAGCTGTCATTGTCACCTTAGTGGTAACCCTGAGAGCAGAGGCATTTCGAATGCACTGCCAATAATGTTAAAAATTACAATTTAATTGCAGACTTCCTTTTTTTCAATTATCTAAAAAAAAACAAATATTTATGTTTTTTATTGTAGACACAATCCTATTGCGCAGTCTTGTCGTTAGAAACTTGCCTTAGTTTTAAGACGAAAACACCTCATTTATTGCTAAAATTCTAGAAAATATTCAGAGTGCTATTGTTCTATTTCATTCCGAGCAAAGAGTATATAAACGATAATTTCCAATTTCGAGTGGGATTTCTATCAATCAAACAAATGTTAGTGTAACCCGAGCAAATATCTGTAACATTAATTAAATAAACTTTCATTACGTATTTGTTGGCATCAAAATATTTTGTGACGTGGTTAAAAAAGCAATGATTGCGGTTCTAAATTGGTTCAACAATACCAGATTATCACTTACAATTCGCTGATATCTGATGAATAATGATGATTCTTCCTTGAGTAATTGCTATATAAAGTTTATGCCAATATAGTAGGCAAGCATATCTCTTTCATAGTGAAGGCAACAAAATCACACTAACCAAAAGGACCTTAAGCTACAGTAGCGCCAACGGATGAACACAAAACTATTTTTATTTGTTTCTATGGTGTGTCCTCATACGCCTACATCTTAAAAATTACAATCTAGCTTCATGCTAGTGATACCTATTATCACTGAAATTAAATTTTTACTTAATTTGCTAGGAGATAAAAACTTAAAGAGTGTGTCCATTAACATTTTTCTTATTATCTCTATTAAGGGGAAGACACTTTGTTCTTGTGTTCTGTAAGGGCAGTCAGTTGGGTCACTTCACTGCATTACACTAATACTTCGATATGTTAAAAAGGTTTGACCTATTTAGCCTTCTTAATTCACCCGTGTATAAGTCGTGGCGGCCCCGAGGTAAAGGCGCCCGCTACTCATGCGTGAGGGTGTGGGTTCGAAACCGGGCAAGTACCAATGTGAGTTTTTCCGAGTTATGTGTACTTTTTATGACTATTTAAACACCACTGACATACATAAACATCGCGAGGAAACCTGGACTTATAATTTCTAATTATAAATTTGAAATCGCCAACCAGCATTGAGCAAGCGTGGTGATTACTGTTCAAACTTTCTCCGTATGAGAAGAGGTCTTTGCCCAGCAGTGGGCACTTAAAGGCTGATGATGATGGTGATGAATACACCCCTGTTGCCAAGGAATAATTGAATTGAATATACATATTTGAATCTGTGCGAAAACGGAGACAGGAACGGATCTCCAATAATATGAGGTTTATTGCAGTTTTAATTAGACAACGCTTGGTCAGAAGTTTTCCATAATGTTTCCATAATGTAAATTATTCAATGACAATATTAGTTACGTGTAATTTAAATACACAATATCATAGTATATGGTCTCCTGGGATCATAGTGTAGCTCGTTTGACTGACATTTACTTGGTAGCCAGACCTTTGATAAATTAAAATGACGTTTATTCCCTCCTGTGAGTTCAATGGGACTGTATCGGACGCATATGTTTCCTGCGTCTTTCAAGGTATAATTCCATCTTTATTTCGTTTGTAGTAAGGGCGAGTTTCGCTTTGTATTATGATCATGTCATTCTGTTGATTCTTAAACTAGACGATTAAGATCTTCATATCAATTGTTTGTGTTTTAAGACCATTTTAATTGAGGTCTTTGGAAGCGTTGGATTAATTAGCTGTGACATAACTATTCTGGTGTCTGTTTATTTTAAACTAGCTTTGGCCCGCGACATTGTTCGCGTGGAATAGCGACTTCCTGCAGATTTTTGGTTTAAAAACTATCCTATGTCCTTTCTCGTGTTCCAAACTATGTTTGTACAAATTTCACACAAATAGGTTCAGTAGGTTTAGGCGTGCGGCGTGAAGAAAAGACAGACATTTATAACATTAGCTTTAAAAGTTTTAAACTACTTTTAAATATAGTACTCGTCTCTGAATATCTGTGTACCTAATTCAAGCAGCCCCTGAAGTGCATTTCTGTGCTACCCGTTTTCAATTTAATTCGAAAGTAAATGAACTTTTTTTAGACCAATTTCCCTTGATCAACATCAGTAATAACACAAGTAATGATAAGAAGGTAAACGCGATTCTTTTCTGTAGCTATGGCCATTTTAATTTAACCAACTTTTAATGCATCTTGCACCAACCATTGCCTGCATCACCCAAGGCTCGACTGGTAGATAATGCCTAAGGCATTAAGCCCGCCTACGTACCTACACATTGTGCACGAAGTAAAAAATATTAAAGATTATTAGTTTGTTATAATACCACAATAATAAAATATTATCATAGATACGTGGTAATACTATCATGGCACTATACATACATTGTTATTGATACGAATTAGCGTTGGTAACCAAACGAGTTATGTTCAAATATGATTCACACACAACCGGTTTGCATTGGCACCTAATAAAATTTTATATTAAAATATCAGGTGAATAAAACTTCCACGGCGCGTACGCATTATGTTGGTGGCAAACATTTGACGAAAATGTTGGATATTCCGACAATATCATGAGGAGACACTCATTGCTTAGACACGCTAATGACGAGATATTTGGCAACACTTTTGTATGACAAATTAAATATAAAAAATAAAAAAAAAACGTTGCCCCACACTTGTATTTTCTGCTGTGTCGTTGCATGGCAGCCAGTTGTCCAGCCACCGCGACAACCGTGCAGTCAATTATAACTATACTATTATTAGAAAACTGAAGAAATTGTTTGCTTAAGCCCCCTAATCTCGGAAACTACTGGATCAAATTGTACAATGTATTTTTTAATTTATTTAGGAAGGAAAAGTATCGCGCTACGAACAACAGGAACCAAACAGCGGGTTTAAAGGGGCGGGAGAAAATTTTCTTTTGGAAAAGAAAAATTGAATTGTCCAACTACACATAAATTATTAATTACATTACATTTTTATAAATAAATTATTTTGTTAAGTGAAAAATGTGATGTTCTGTATGTCTGTTTTCTATTAATTTCATTGCTTTTCTATATCATGAAAAAAAAAATTGTTAAGTTGTGATTCACAAAAATGCAAATGTACAAATAAAACCGTTCCAATTTATGGCCCTTTACAGTACATCCTTTATATGGAAACAGTTACTCATCACATTTGATACCTTTGTTACAAGAATCAAATGAAATGCTTCATCTAAGTCAATAAACTGCGTAGGTGGTCAATTGTATGTTTTTAAGACCCACACTTTAAATAATTTGAGTGATGATAATTTTAGAGTACATACACCTTGTGAGTAATAGATACAAATAGTTAGATAGCCTTGTAGAGAATTTGAATGTGAGTAGGAAGACTGAAAGAATATTTCATTGAAAATCTAGAATTTTATTCCTTGCTCTGTTCTGCGCATGAGATATTAATTTTATTTAATTCAATACTTAGTTTAGAATAATTGTTTTTAAAAATATGTTTGTAAAAACTTCACATACCACTTTATAGTTTTTAATGCTCGGTAGAAACCTCTTCTGTTCCACCTCCTTCTTTTGGAACACCTCATTGATGATGTTGCCCAAAGCCTGGGCGCCATATTGCATTAGCGCTTGACCTCCTTGGTTGAGCAGCTGCTTTCCCGCGCCTTGCAGCATGGCGCCAAAGTCCATGCCGCCATTTTGACCCATAATGCGGTCACACTCACTCACAAACTACACTCTATACTTTATTCTGACACTTTGCTAAGACATTTTCAAGTTGGCTGTGTGGAAAATTAGAAGTGTGATTATTTTATTGTGCTCTGTGTTTTAAGAAATATTTTAATTTAGTTTAAGGGTGTTCACAGTAAGAACACATTTAGATAACATGTTGTGTATGTGCATGTGCTTATAAACTGTACAAAATTGAACTAAACATTTACACAATTAGGTACTGTTTACAATGAATAACTTATAACAACTAATTATTTTTTGTAACGGTAGTGTAGTGTATATTCCTCAACAGTTACAATAATTGTAAACACTAATTACTGAGCACTAAATGTCCTATTTTCCTATTCATGATATCACATACATAGCACAGTTATTAATAATAAAGTGGAATAATTTGTTACACACACATATATAGACTTTAAAATAAATTTTTAATTTAAAAACTATTTTATATTCAACTTCACAATAAATTCATTCAAAAAAAAAAAAATCCATGGCAATGGACACAAGTCATTCATCCTAGTGTGATCACAATACTAAGTAGGAAACACCATGAAGGCCATTGATATTATTGCACAGTTTTAAAGTGATGTCATCTGTGGAGGTGTACTAATTAAGTACTAGTAAACATTTTTCTCATGGAGATAATTGCCTGTGGCTGTATGACTATGATACATAGATATTTTTTTCTAGAGCAAAGGAAATAGTTAAACTTATGTTTCTCAGTTTATGAACATGTTTAGTATTCATGCTTATTCATATCTAACACCTAATGATTTTAGACATTAGGTAAATAAGTACCTTAAAATAATTTGAAATTGATTACTGTGAGAGATAAATTGTTTCAAAAAACAGAAGCTTCGTAACTTGTTTTCTATAAATAGGTACCTATACCAGTCTACAAATAATATCAATCTCATTTACACATTGCAGTAGTCTGCAGCATTATTGTAGTAGTCTGAATTAATAATAATAATATAAGTGTTATCATATCAATTTCTTCTGGAAGAAATTATATTACTTCTTGGATTTAATTTCATGGAATTCTTTATTTATTTTGATACTAGCAAAACAAGCGTACAACCTTCTTGGAGTTTCCTTTCAGTAAAATCGTGTTCCCCTACAAACCGGCTGCAGAAATACTACGGAATCTGGACCAAAAGCAAATAATAAGTAGGTCAGCTGTTCACTTTCGAATATGAATGATAAAATTCTATGAACTCTCAAAATTTTATTAAAACACGGTATTTTTGGCTAAAGAAACTACGCATTGTTAAAAAATAGGTGAGGTCATCGTTATGCCGAAGTTCACTGAAAAATGTTAAGAATCTAATAAGAATGATTAAACATTGCATCAAATGTCGCCTAACAATATGCTTCTTCGTGAATTCCAAACGCGAACTAGTAAATACAGAGCACAACAAAATATTCCACTACACAATACACATAAAAACGTCTCGTTTTACACTACAATATTATTTAAATATGTTTTAAAAATCACAGAGCAGCCGTACCCAAAACTGTCTCGGCGAAACTGACAGCAATACAACCGACTAAATAAAAGAGCTTTTCAAATGAGCAGAAGATGAAATCCAATCGTGATCTCTTAAACTTAGTCGTATAGCTAGCAAGTTATTGCCAGTAGAGAGAATGACGTCACCTACTAAAACTAGTAGCATTGATTTTCTGCTTAGGTATCCACTGTTTATGTGTTTTGGTTTCCGTCTATCGTAAATAAATCTTTAAAAATCTGGGAATTGTAAAGAATATTTTTGCTGTTTTTTCTTGTCTGTGATAGAATACGCGAGTGCAAGCTTACTTAAATATTTTTACTTGTAACACATTATCTAGTCAAAAATAAGTTACACCCTGCAGCTACGATTAATATTTTTAAATACCTAGGTATCTATATATCATCTTAATTTTTTTGATAAATTTCTGTTAAGATAATTATTATATGTTGCTAAGAGCATTTTTATAGGGTAATATAAATATTTCTATTATTTTTCATAATTATTCTTTAGCTTTGCACTTACTTATGATAAATCCAGGGTCGGATTAAGGAAGTCGGCACAAGTGCATTGTATTGTAGCTGACCTCATTTTAATAATACCTATTTAAATGAATCACAAAATAATATATCATCGAATAAAATTAAGTTTTGCAGATTCATTAAACATCAGAGTTTAAGCAAATTAGAAATTGCATTTTTATTATGTAGGAACGAGGTTTGTATTGAGATCTAGGTAACATATTTTTTTATAGTTAGTACCTATATTTGCCGCTGTTAATAGGTACGTGTTTCACCGTTTCCTGTCTTATGTAAAGGGAAAAATAGCTAATAAGATGAAACGACTGACACGACTTACATATTATGTTTATAGTTGAGTTGATTATTAATCAATGTCCATATCACGTATCTTTTGGTACTGAATAGGTTTTTATTGTATGCATGTTGTTATATCTGTTTGTTTGACACATCTAGCAGATTAAAAGAATTTGTAAGTGTTAGAGGCAGTACTTGTAACCTTAATAAGCAACATAAGAAGATAAAAATAAAAATTGCTAGTTGTACCTAAGTATTCGAAATGAAAGTACCGATGGATCTGAATGAAATTCGGCATAGATAGATATCTTTATTTTATATTTATGTTGTTTTTTATGTTTATAGCCTGGAAAAACACATAGGATACTAAGGTACCTAGAAGCTACAGGAAGCAACTAGTTGGTTATTGCTTAAATAAAACTAAAGTTTTAGAGTTTACCTCTAAAACAAATAATTTCTCAGTTTCTTTACATAAAACTTCAAAAACATTATAATTAAACTTAAGTTTAATTTAAATTGAAAAAATGTAAGTAGCAGTTTAGGTGGTTAACTAAAGGAAAACAATCTTGGTATTTTTTTTGTTAATTAAAGAGATCGTATAAAATACATACAAAGATTATTTAAATTTAGTTAATAAGCGAACATCGATTTAAGTAAATACCTAGTTGTAGCCATTTTTACTTATAATTTTTAGACAACTTTGCTATGCTAAGATTACCTAAACCTATAGACTATATAGTAATAGTCATGTATGCATACAATAGTAGCTAGTTTTTTGCTGTGAAGGTCACCTCATGTGAAATAAAATTATTAATTATTGAAACAAGTACTTCTTAAGATTTAAAATTGTATTGTTACGTCAGAAATGGACATAAGTGGGTAAGCACAGTAGTTGCCTTGACGAACCAGTTTCCAATTATGGCGGGAAACTACTGACAAAAATGGCCGAAACGTATGTCGGTGGTTAATGATCATAATCTATGAGTAACGCTTGTTTTAAGGTTAACGTTATTTCTGTATGGAAGTGATATTTTTTCGTAATAACAATGAAGAATGGATATACAGATTAACTGTAAGTACTTATGTTCATATTTTAGAATACCTACCTAATTATAATTTTGAACCAGATTAGTTTTGGCTACATAATTAAAACGAATAGAACCATTGTCAATTAAGTAGTGCATTTGACCAATACGTAAGTTTCGTTACTTAAATTCGAAGGCCATGATAGGTCACCATTGTCAAAACCTAGAGCCTTTCCAATTCAGACTTGGCTACTAATACAAGGTTTTCAGATATTTCCTTTAGATACAATAAAGAAAATTTGGCACCAGACCAGCTCCATACATTTCCTGTAACGGGCACAAGGCCTTGTCCTCCATTTCAACCAAGTCTAGCTATTAAACAAATTGTTGACGTGATCATTCAGCAGCGCTACCAAATTCTTTATTCGGTTGGTCAAAACCGGAACTACGAAAAACTTCCCAATTCATATCGTTTTTACAAAGAAACTAGTGACGTGTTCAACTGTAATGTTAACTTGGTGATTCGACAATCAGTCTTAACAATCAATAAAGATTCGTACAGGACGCTTTGACCACAAAAATTCCAAATTTGCCAGCTACCTTGAACCGTGTTGACGGACTGTGTGAAGTAGACGGATAATTAATTATGATGTTACGTTGATTTTTGTCGAAATCCGGTTTAGGATAGTTGTGGGCGTGCACACAGGTAATTTGCTTGTATGTGTATATTAACTAATGTTATGACAAGATATTGTAGTGATGTCGAAGTGGTCTAAATGCCTTGCTGTTTGATTGAATAGCTGAATTTGTTATTCAGGCCTTTAGTGAAAAGTCCTCAAAACCGAGCTCCGAGAACCGGGGGAGTTCCTTAAGTACTTAAACATTTAAACACAATTTTCTAACCCAAACGAGTTTATCAACGATTACGTTTGTCAGCGTAAAATTGCTTGTGAGAGTGAATAAGGTTCGTCTCCTATGATATAGAGAAGTATATTATTATGACGTAGGTAAATAATTTTATCCTCTACAGCGAACGAGACATTTGCGGACAACATAAAAAAAAGATTGTTGTGACCTTTGAATTTCATTTTTGACAGGTGCAGTATGTAGGTTTTAAGGCAAGTTTGAGGAAGCCTAAATAAAACCGTATACAAATGAAACAGCTTGATAAGATGCCTGGATTATAGATGCAGTGGTACATACTAGACAAGATTTGTTTAGAACGAAACAAACAAAAGCTAAAAGAATTTCAGCGGATTGTTAACTATCTAGTAATTTACGAGTTATTAAACTAGAGTGTATTTTGCGGTGTCTTAGAATATCCTAAATAAACTCCCCAAGAACTACTGTAGACTGTAGGTAGGTACGTAGGAATTCTAAGAAAATTTGCCTGATAGTTAAACTTAATAATGGTTTCAGCAACTTCTAGAAAAAACATACAAACTAGGTATTTCTTAAACACTTTATTAACACTCTATTTTCCCATAAAGAAATCAAACTACAAGCTTAAATCACGTGTTGAGTCGACAACACAGCAGTTTTCCTATACGAAGCGCCCACTGGAACCGACAAAAGTTAAAAATAAATTCCCTTTTTATTTTGTTAGTCGCATTCTTCACCGGTGATGTCAATTGCCCTAGTGACTAGTTAACGTTGCTAAATTTGACATCTAAATTATACTAGCAAAATGTTTTCTTATGTTATATGGCGGCAAACGAGCCTGCATATTACCTAATGGTAAGCAATCGGCGCAGCCCATGGACAGTTTAACAACGGAGGAGTTGAGAGTGCGTTGCCGACGTTTTGGGAGTCCTCCTCCTCGACTGCCTCCGGTAACTACACTCACACGGCGAAACACCACGCTGTGGTTGTTTCACATCGGTTTTCTATGAGGCCGTGATATCATTCTGGCTGACCCATTCGTGCCGAAGCATGGCTCGCCCTTATCCAAGTGTAAATGTTAAAAGAAGACTGAATAATACACAGGTTTTAAAATGAAAGTACACTCTTGTTCAACTTCTCTGAAGAGATAAGCTTTTTATAGTCAATCATAACGGGTTATGAGCCCATTACCGAACACTGGACAGTTCCAAATTTGGCGATTTTTGATCACAACCACACTTTCCTCAATCTATATCCAAGGTCAACGAGTTACTCATATTTATATTCTAGAAATCGATGTTTACTTTGCAAATTATAACCCACAATACCAATATAAAAAAAGTCTCGCACAAATCCAATCAGATTTTCCTGTGAACTATTTTGCATACATCTGTCTTCGAGTGCTGTAAATACGTGTAAGTACATATTTGGGTGGTTGACGTCATTACTTATAATAATTTAAATAGCATATAATTAGCAACACGATAAGCAGTCCTTCCCATATTATGTCATGCGTCCATGACATATAAACGGCATACTTACAGTTAAATATGAACCGCTATAAATAACATTAAGTTCATTTGTTTTTGACTGAAGTAAGAACTTGTTTTGGCAGCTGTTCCTTGGGATTGGCTGAAGTTAAGTACTCATTGAATTATGGCTGTTTACTCTATATCTTTGTACTTTACGCTTAGGGATATTGAAATAAATGAAGCCTAACTAAGCCATCTTCTAGCAAGCTTTTTTTTTATGTAATATCTCGGCAAACGAGCAGACGGATTACCCGATGGTATGCAATCAGCGCCGCCCATGGACACTCGCAACGGAGGAGTTACGAGTGCGATGCCGACCTTTTAGGGATTTGGAGATTTAGGGATTGAGGAGGGATTGGGGAAGGGGAAGGATTGGGCCTCCGGTAACGTCACTCACACGGCAAAACACAACGCAGTGGTTATTTTACGCCGGTTTTCTGTGAGGCCGTGGTATCACTCCGGTCGAGCCGACCCATTCGTGCCGAAGCATGGCTCTCCCACACTTAGAGAAGATAGGTATTATTTATTTTTGAGGTTGTATATCATCCAATGTCTGAGGGCTGCGGTTTATTACCGCTTTTGTATCTGAAACTGTGGCTGGATACACAATTTTATAATGTAGCAGTTGTTTTTTTCGATAGGGCTAGTAGCTTCAAATAATTTTTCTCAAACATCTTGTGTTCTAGTTTCGTATATTTTCTTGATATTCTGTGTAAATGTTAAATACAGGAACATTATTTTTAAAAGACGTTAATAGTAAACATCTTGAAGTCTTTATTAAGTTAAAATATACAATAGTAAACATTTCGTGAACTTGTGACCTCGTGCGAAAGTGACCGATCGACCTTCGTGGGTACAAGAAAGAATAATGTATTATGAAGTGTGAGAAACATGCATATTGACTATAGCATTTATGATATTTTAAACTGCATATTTATGTTATGTATAAACAATGTAAATAGTTTACGGGTCAGTGCCAAGGACGATTTCGAAGCTTAATAGAAACAAAACACTTGCTTAGAAAAACACCAAACTATTTGCAATAATGAAAAAAAATAATATTCCCTACAAAGTTGAGAAACACAGAACGAAAGAAAGCATCATAAGAAATTAGATTTTCTTGAACAAGTCAAAAATGTGTAGGTACATGAATAGTCTTACGTGGGAGATTATTGATCTTAAAAAAGTCAACGACACGTGGCGCCTAATATGTATAGGTAACGACGTCACAAAAGTGATTCAGAAATGAAATCCCGCTTAGTCACTATTTGAGAGAATGTGTAATTTACAACATATCAGTCTAATGGTAATGAGTAATTAGAGTCATTATTTTTGTTCTTGTTGGTAAACGCCAAACCAGATCCTAAATGAGATTGGAAATCAAGTATATTCTAGTAGTAATGTGATTTTTTTGCAAGTTGCACGTAAAATTAATCCTTAATTACTGTAAAAAACTTATAAGCAACAAGATACTTGAAGTCATCAATCGAAACAATGCTCATCAATGCACATCAGTGCCACAGATATTATTATGTAGGTTTGTTAGATTTGCTTAATTTTGTTTAGGCTATAAATACTTACATCAAATTCCACAGTATGTGTATGCTTGGAAAGAATAAAAATAAATTAATTCAAAGAAACCCAGTGTTGTAAGGAAACCTGTTTTTAGTGAGAAACGTGGTTAAGGACGACGACCGTACAAGGATTTTTATAACCCTTGAGACGATTTGTGCCAAAATATAAATATGGATACAAAGAAAGAAAGTAATTTAAGGAAGACATTTCATTACTTGACTGCTTATGGCTTAAGTCAAAGTTAATAGTTAGGTGCCATCAACTAGATAGCTTTATTAATTTTTAATTTATATTTGATTGCATGCTAGCAGACGAATTCTTAATTAAATAAATCATTTAGTAGATATTACTGTACGAATACTAACCACATGCGGTAGGTAAAACATAATTGTTAGAGTGCGCAGTAAAAATTTAAGCTTGCCAAGAGGAAAATAATAAAACTAGAGAGCTTATCTTTAAGAACAGAACGTCATTTCCTTGATACTATAGATAGAACTGTAATTTATAGTGAACTGAAGTTACAGTTTTACTGTGTTGTAAAAACAATAAAAGATCAAAAGTATTCACCACTGCGTTTACGTTGACTGCAGAACAGGCTTCCTCGATCACTTCTTCCACTGCTCCACTTTCATACTCTTCAGCGGGAAGTGCAGGGTATAGCTTCATGCCGGTACTAAATACCGTATCATCTTCAGCCGGCAGCTTCGGGTACAGACTTCCATTTTCCAGCAGAGGTTCCGACCCTTCTCCACGTTCGCCTCGAAGAAAACCTTTCACAGCATTAGAAGCGTTGGCAGCCCGATGCCAACCCCAGCCATTGGCCTTAAAGTTCTTCGGATAGTAATTAAACATTGTTATAAATCACTGCACTACACTGTTTGCACTGAACGTTCGGGGATTTAAGCTCCGAAAATATCTGGCGTCTTCACTTTACAGCGAATCGACGCGGAATGAAGTTGATCTCCTGTTTTTTGTTTAATATATAAATCTGAAACAAAGAAAGTTTAGTCTGTAAGTATCTAAGTTTGGTGCTTGAATAATGTTCTACCGATTTTCAGAACTAGTTTCTTTTAGAAAGTGTAATGCAGTTTATTAGGAAGGTGCCGTTTAATTGGACTGTGTTGTAGTTTATTAATCTACGCTACAGCTATATTCGATTATCTACTATCAGTTTGCGTATTATGATAAAAACCTAAACATTTTTATATACATATAGTATGATGAGACGATGATTCACACATATAAACATCGTCACGCCTATCGCCCAAAGACGAGACAATAGTACCTACCTACACCAACACGGTTTTGGCATACTTTTATCTACATTCTTCGATCTCTTCATGCATTTATGTCACTTGAGACTTACCTAATTACTTTTACTTTGCACCTATCGAATACGTTGCTGATGTACGTCCGATGATCTTAAGCTGGAACTTAATAATCGATTATAATTCCAAAATATTTGGTTTGATCAATATTATTGACAGATATTCCTTACAAATCTATTTTAATCCTTTGAGAGAGATCATCTTCTATCAACTTTTTGTTAAATTTTTATTCAATATAATGTAAATCATTTTGTATCTTTAACCACTTCGATATTCGCTATTATCCAGTCAAAAACAAGGAAATAAAAGAGTAGGATATAACAAGGAAATAAAGAAGATAGGGGAAAGTGAAAGTGGTTATGTCGGTTCACAAATCAGAGACGACCAGAAATGTTAATAGTGCAGGCGTTAAAAGATAACGAAACAGCTAATGCGTCGAGCTGTCATTACTCTTTTTTTAAACACTGCACAACCTTGCCGAGTTTAATCATCCGTGCCTATTTAGACGACGTCAGAGCGATTTCGTTTATTTTATTTCCTTGTTTTTGACTGGAAAAGTGTTTTGATCCCCTGCAATTACTTAACAATAGAAGGTACGTTAAATACTTTTTTACTCTACTTTTATCTCTAGTCAGTTTCTTTTATATTTTAATTATCCTGTTTCTATATAAATAAATACATATCAATCAAAGTGGTACAGTAGTACCTATACGGTAATTTTGAGTACTTTCAGTTGACAACAAAATATATAGTTGAAATATTATAATGCATATTTTTAAGAAAATGTATTAGGTACGACCTTGTAGCAGTTATGAAATTGAACTTAGGTGAAGATGCCTACGTACATAATAATTATAAAGGTCAGAGAAAACAATAATCACTGATGTAATCTTTTTCTTTATCAAACATTTATTGTGATAAAAAAAACAAAAACGATTACATAAGAAAAATAAAATAAATAAATAAATAGGTACTTATATTTCATTTGGTCACAGTTCACGTGTATAATCTTATATATAAAAATGGATCGCAGAATGTATTGGTAAGCGCATAACTCAACAACGCCTGGACCAATTTTGCTAATTCTTTTTTTGTTGTGTTTATTATCGTCAGGAGAAGGTTCTTATCGAAGAAATATTAGAAAAGTAGAGGGGAAGATTAGGAAAAGTGACCCTTTAATAGCGAGATAGTTGGACCCGTGCGAAGAGGGGGCGGGCCGCTAGTTAAAATTATAACAATGAAAGTACCAACTAACAAAGTATTATATTATGATAACGTTACTTACAGATACTCAATGCGAAAACCGTTAAAAAAATGCTATGCTAAAGCTAAAACCACACAGCGAATAAAAATGTTGCTAAGTACGGCCCTGGATTGTCGTTCGTTTATGGAGCAAGGGTTGCCATAAGTATTGTTGTAAGCTTTTTTTTATACATAGGTATTTTTCTCTTTGGTTGTATAATATAATATTTTAATTTTTTTAAACTTTATAATTTATTACTATTATTTATATTCTGTTAGCTTTCTTTCAATGGAGATAACACCTTGTAATGCTGTAATTTCGTTATACTCGTAATAATATTGTACAATTTTCTTCTATTTAGTATGCATAGTATAAAATAAAGTCGCTTTATCCGTACTTTATCCTGATGTAAGTATGCTTAAATGTTTAAAATTACGACGGATTTTGATACTTTTTTTCAATGTACATAATGATTGAAGGGGAATGTTTATGTGTATTAAACATCCATTCACATTGAGGAGTATCTAATAGTAGATATCGGCATTGCCTCAAGAGACATTAAGAGAGTTCAGTTTTATGGTACATTTGTATCACACAGTTATTTAGTCGTAGCTACTTGTAGGTACATGTACATAAAGTAATTACATAAACAATTTATTTTCACAGTTAGTAACGTACAAGACGTGTGAAATCTGTTTTCAATGAAGTTCAACAGAATCTTAATAGACTTACCAAAGATATTTCTAAATTTAAAAATACTTTATTTGCGAGATACGAACGGTTTTGTTCTTTCTTTGAATCTATCAATTAACATGTTCTTTGTATGTGATAGGGCGGTAAACGAGCACACAGATGATCTGATGGTAAGCGATCGGCGGTTATGGACACCAGAGGAGTTACGAGTGGACTTGTGCGGATTAGGGTTTGGGGGATTTACTCACACGGCGAAACACAATGCTGTGGCTGTTCCCCGGTTTCTATGAGGTCGTCATATTACTCCGGTCGAGCCGACCCATTCGTACCGAAGCTGGACTCTCCCACACTTATATTCATTGGTAACATCACGCCTATTATTTCCCGTGGTGCTAGACAGAGATGAATTAAGTGTCAGCCCATATGTTATCGTAAACAGGGAGCAGGGACCATACCAGACCCTGTTACAACTGAAAACTTTCGAAAACAAAATAACATGGTGACCTAGGAATCTTAACCTTCATGCTTAACTAATTAGCACTTAGGCTAGGCAGCAAAAGCCCTAGTTGGCATATCTATAGATAAAATATTAAACACTAACCTGAATGAGTAACAAAGCCATTATCTAGATTTGAAGACGATGGCGTGGCTTATATTAATAAAATTAACAAAATCAACATCAACGTAATAAAATAAAACATTATTCAAGGTGTACAAAGTAATACGTTTAAAGTTTTTTGGGTGTGTTTTCAAAGAAGGCCGAAATTAGGGCCGCTCCCATTGCGCAAACATGGCGTCACCGAACACTACGACCTCCTTGCTCTAGGGTACGTTCTTTTTAATTACTGGAATTAAAACCATAGACTACTCTTTTATATGGCTGTTTAGGGAACGCTTTTACGCATTTGCATGATTATGTTTAAAATGTTTTTATTTGGCGTTTAATATTGTGAATTTGTCGATCACGAAAAATGATTTCATTTGGAACAATTAGCCACTATGATGAGCAAATATTTAATGCGGGGTGGTATGTGCGTCAGGAATTTCACGACGGGGTCTGGAGTGGCCTGGGGGCAGGAGGGTTGCCGTGGCAGTGTCCAGTCGTCCCGCCCTGTGGCTGGGGGGGATAGAGAAGTCATTTGATGATTAAATGAAAAAAATATAGCAGCTATTAGGGGTTTTTTTTTTTTTTGTGAGGGGAAAATCATCAAATGACTTCTCCCGCCCAGGGCCGGGCAGGAGGGAGTGTCAGACTCTTACTGACTAAAAACCCCCCTGTTTCTTCTCCTGCTCTGTGCCGAGGTCGCGGTACCTCATTGCGCTTACCCCGCAACCCCGGCTGAAGCTATTAGGGGTTTCGATTAGATTCTTACTGAATAAAGCATCCCATTCCTTCTCCTGCTTTGACCCGCAAAACTCGGGACGGGGCTGCATTCTAGAGGCAAACCACCCAGTTCGGCCCGATGCCTACGAGGCTTATGTAACGGTCAGGCCCGTCATCTACCCTGGTCGCTCCGGCGAGAGATTTCGCGCGGTGTTACAAGGGATCGGTTCTGAGACCGATCAGACTGGTCTGATACGGCGACTCGCTGGTTTAGCGAAAGGGAAATGGCTTCAGGCGGCAACCTGATGTCACGACGGTTGCGAAGGTCGTTGCTAAGATCTGGCAGACTGGAGCCAAAGGCTATGCAGGGGGTTACAATCAGTGTCGAGTCGACGATAAAGTTCTTGGCTCTCGTGTCCGATAGCCGGTGGAACTTTGCGAAGCATTTCAGACGGTTTGCTTTAATGTTGGAACGGACAAGGTCTGTGCTTAAGCGGCTCTTTCCCAACTTCTTCTTGGGGGGCCAAAGGCCTCCTGAAAAGTTTTATTTGGGGATGGTACGATCCACGCCCTGTGTGGGCGCCTAATTTGAGACGGCGACCAGCTCATACAAAGTAAGTAATTCATCATTAGCCTATAAGTGCTTACTGCTGAGCAAAGGCCTCTTTTCATATGGAGAAGGTTAGAGCATTACTCACCACGTTTGCTCAATACGGGTTGGCGATTTTAATCTTATGATAAGAAATTTTAAGTCCAGGTTTCCTCACGATGTTTACCTTCACCGTATGTCAGTGGTGTGTAAATAATCATAGAAAGTACATATAACTCGGTAAAACGTAAATATTCTTGCTAGGTTTCGAACCGTCGCCCTTATGTATGAGAAGCGGGCTCCTTAACTTCCAGGCCACCACGACTATCAAAGTAATTTGATTAAGTAAATAGGTATGTATGTACATATATTTATAGCAAAATTGACCAGTAGGTAAGTAATGGCTGGTCAAGTCAATACAATATACAAATATGACCTTGTGTGGTTTGACCTAAGTTACATCCAAAGGGACATGTAGGTACTATTACGAAGAATTCCAATTCTGATGTAGGCACTAAGTGTCAGTGATGAAGGCTTTATATTTAATAGCAATACATATTAACAAGTGGTTATTAGAGTTGGCCTAAGTTTACCGAGTTTATTTTTGATAGTCTTTGTTTTTGTTTTTTAGGGGGATAATCATCAAATGACTTCTTTTATCCTTCGTGGGGCGAAAGAGAGTGTGACACTCTGGCTCACTGATAACCACCCTATTTCTTCTCCTGATCTGAGTTGAGATCACAGTACATTATCAAGCTGGATCCCCACTTGGAAATCGGCCCTAGTAAGGTATCTATGGTGGTCTGATGGCTCTATCGGGAGCGATAGGAACGTGACGCACCCTACGGTCAGGTCTTCATATTCGATTTAAATGAAAAAAAAAAATGCATGACAAGAAGATTCTGTAAGGGCCCAGTGAAACGGCCGCCGCTGTACACTAGACATAACTAAAGTCTATCTTTGAAGATGTGTACTGATCATAATTCAGAATTTTCAATTTATTTATTTGTTTAAGTAAAACCAACATAGCATAGACTAAAAATAAACTTTAGGAAGAATTATCTATTTATACCGATAACTAAAGCTGGCCATCACCATTCGTGGATGCACGTTTTAGTGGGGTAAGGATCACTCATCTCGACTATCTCCGAACAAAAATCTGACTGCAAGGCTGGGATATGTTGCTGGGCAACAAGCTCTACTTTGCAACGTGTTCCTGGTTCGCGGCACAGAACACCTCTTTATGTGATCCACATTGTTCAAAGTAATAGATTGGTAAATGAGCGGGCGGATTACCTGATGGTAAGCAATCGGCGCCGCCCAAGGCCTCTCGCAATACTAGTGCGTTGCCAGCCTCTTATTGTTGGTTGATAGGCATTTATCGAACGACGAAACACAACCTGTGAGGCCGTGGTATTACCCCGGCCGAGCAGGCTTATTCATGCCGAAGAATGATTTTCCCACACACACAAATCATTGGTTCGGGTCTTGGTGTGGTGTGTTTGTGAATTTGTATGATTGTAAACTTGTCGTGAGTAGCCTAAAAAGACAAGGCCAATGAAATAAAATGAAAATGTTTTTTTGTAAAATTTTATTAATTTCGTATGATATATGTACTCGTAGATGTCGCAAGTCGCAACCAGCTGTTTAAAATAGCCGTTGTTGGTTGGATGGCTAATTCGACTATTTAGCAGTGATATCGACATTTTATTTATGAAACTGATGTTCAATTTAAATGCATGTTGAAAGTACGCACAAAAAGTAATTTATGTCAGTGTAGATATAACACAATATCATCAAAAGAAACTATCATGTCATTCCCTGTTAAAGTACACTTTTTTGTATTTCCCTGTTGGTAAAATATCCAGGATAAACACGAAAAAATTAATCTTTTTCGAGCGAGTCAACACGAATACCTACGTACTACCACTGCCGGCGTCAAGGCCACTGACACCCCGGGCGAAAATATGATGGCGCCCACTCAACAATTTAATAGATCAAGTAATCGTTTTCTGCTGATTCTAAGTAAACCTATAAATACTTATTAGGAATTTCGTCTTCTTTATTGTTCTCTAGAGCATATCTAGTGAAAGAGAAGTTTTTGAAAACAAAAAAAAACATTTTAAATGTCATCTTGATCAGCATGATTTTTTCACTGCAGCACAGATGAAACAAAAAAGAGAATAGAAAGATTTTAGTAAACGGGAAAGCGAAATAATTTATATACCTAAGTGTAGGTAGGTAAATTATACATTTTCAGATTTAACATATGTGAAACCATACACTATCAAAAGTGAATTCGAAAATAGGCAAAACCACGAACTCATACCCTTGAGTAGACTACGACGACTGACTACACTAGAGTGTACTAGCTATGGAGCCCCTTCAGAGGAATTTTTTTTGAGACGGTGTGATTATATTTTAAATTGATAACTGACTGGGTAAGGCGAGAATGACTCAGACACTACATAGTATTTTTTTTAAACGGTGTGATGATATTTTCTCGTGATAACTGACTGGTTGCCGGTTGGGGCGAGAGTGACTGTCAGACACTTACAGACTGAAAAGCACTCCGTTCCTTATCCTAAGCCGGACAGTGGTAGATCACTATGCTTTATCTGCAATCCCAAAAACCCGAGAAATTGGGAAAACGGTGGTTTTATTGCTCTTAGATACACTCGCAAAACGCGACGCCTTACACTGAGTAAGCCGTTCAGCTCATAAACTTGTTATCTATGAAAACATTCGCACGACCACATGTTGCATTTAACAGATGTAAACTCTATGACCTTAGCGGGCTTAGTGCAAATGCCCTCTACGTCTAATCGCATCAGGAATTTAATAGCATTATAATACAACCTTAAACTCGGAAATGACTAGCATTTATAATCTGTGGCGATACGTCATCCTTAAGATTTCTGAATCATTCAATGACGGAGTCGTACCTATTGTATTAGTTACAAAGAGGTGAAATATAAAATGCAACGAATTAGTTAGTCCATTGTGAAATTTCGGCATTATTGTTTTTGTGATTTCATGTTCTTATTCGTACAATGCTAATAATTGATTTTTAATACTTCACAAGTACCTGATACTATCCATTCTTTGACAGTCAAACAAACCAGAGTTATCTTTATACATAATATATAAAAATTTCATGTCACGTGTTTGTCTGCGATGGACTCCTAAACTACTAAACCGATTTTAAAATTGATTTGCATTCCGTGTGTATTTTGATCGAACTTGAAAGATAGGATAGCTGCATAGCTGACATCTCAATTTATAGTCACAATATTATTTTATTGCAAATGATTTGTCCATATGTACGTAATGTGACAAGAATCTTAGCCACAGCAAGGGCTTGCTGGGTCTGCTAGTTGTTATTTAAAAAGTTTATTACGACCGGTGCCAACTGGTCGTTTGAGGAGGGAGGGGGAAGGTCTTCCGGCTGATGATGATGATTATGATGACCGTACTATAGTTTGTTGCTGGGGTAGACGATTATTTCATCAGAATCGCAGGAAGTGAAGTGGAAAACTCAAGGAATCCCAGAAATATTGAAATATAATGGATCCCTCAAACACTGAAAGTAGTGAAAACTGATCTGGAAGTTAATGAACGCGTAGCGAATCGGTTTACACTACTTATTACTACTACTAACCAATTTGAAAATTGGTGTTATTATTCTAAGAAAATTAATAAAAAGCGAAACTTAATAATATTTTTAATTTTCTTTGGCTTTTAGATGTTACGAGAATTATACTAGGTGGTTAACTAAAGGTAAAGAATCCTGTATGTCTTTTTATATTAAAGAGGTCGTTTATCATACATAGGATTCTACTTCTCCGATTTTTAAATTTAGAACATTAACTAACATCACACTTTTGTATAAAGAGACATGCCAAGACTGTTTACATTTAGTTAATTATCCAAACCTCTAGATCATAAATGCATTTCTACGAAATAGTTTAGGAGTTGCTTGTTGAGTAAGACAGAGTATTACGATCTGACTAAAATTTAGAAATCACGGCTTATATATACCGTTCAACATGAAAACAAAATAAGAAAAATATTTTTTAACAAAAAAAAAAACCGACTTCAAGAAGTAAACTAAAAAGCAAAAAATAAATTCATTAAGTTAAATAGAAAATAATATTTAATAACTATTTTATAATCTTAAAGTCGGTGCCAAGCCTCCTCCTTTTTGGAAGTCGGTTAAAAAAACATAATTTTTAAATTTCAAAATGACGTGCTGGTTGTCAGTCGCACCATAGATGCGTCTATGGCCTGCTACAATAGTTTGCAGTTCGACATTCATTTGGCTTAATATATCTACAGGAAATCTAAACTGCAATGTTTATTCAAATGTGCGCAGTGTATCAAGCCATCATAGTGCTTACTATCTATAAATAAATAGGTTTATACATATAGACTAGCTTGCACATAGTCTAACGCTGTAGTCGGACATATTATTGTGATTTGCACTAAGATTTAACTGATTGTTTTTAATTCATCAAACCCCAGGCGAACGCCGGCGTTCGGCGACTAACCTATTGTGTCTCGAATTGCCACGATGGAAAGGTTAAGTGCAAATATTATCAAACGTCTTCTGAAAGGGAGAAGGGTCACTGATTCTGACTAAAATGGTATGTGGGCTTATTGAGGCGCGCGCGGAATGCAAAGCGCCGTACGCTAGAGTTTGGTTCTGGTCCAGCAGCGAGCTATCCTTGCTCGCGGATTGCAAACGAAACGATAAAAAAAAGTATATATACGGTCGACTTGAGAACCATCCTCCTTTTTGGAAGTCGGTTAAAAAGGATACCTGATCCCGCATCGTGAGGATACCTGGTACGTACTTAAAAAAAAAAGTAAATAGTCTGTGAAATAAAAAGCACGAATGGCACAGTGGCTGGGCATCCGACTGCCGAGTATGCTGTCGGGGGTCCATATGGAAATTGTTGTTTCGGGCCTAGGATTGTTGTTTATGACATTGGTATGTTTGTAAACGCACCCATACACATTACAAGGGAATATCTTAAACCAATAGAACTTTTCTTTAAAAGAATATAAATTCAAGAGAGCGATTGTTACCATAAATTAGTAAAATATATTTTTTATGGGTGTTGCCAACACTGTACAGTTTACACATACATATAATTGTACACACGTTTACCGAGTGTATCAATGTACATAGGTATGACATCGAATTCATGCATTTACCTGGTTTAAATTAGTAGGTATTTGATAAGACCGTTATGGCGATAAGTCGGTCCATATAAGATAAAATATTACTGAATGATAAAAAGCAGAAAGGTTTTATACTATCCAACATTCAAAAAAGGTGTGGCGATGAAGTTTCATTTACAGACTTGTGGCTGACAAATGCTTAAATATTTTGTTTTTGCATTAGTAGGTAAGTTCTTAGAAGTTTACGCATTTAAGAGTTTACTAACTTTTGTAATTCACTTGAAACATAATGAGAGAGATATTTCCTTTTTTTTTTTAAAGTAAACTAATTGTTTGTTGTCATCACGTGAATTGAAACGAATGCATTCACTTTGTTTATTTCAGGGTCAAATAACAAAAACATATGTTTTAAGTGAATATCTGACAGAACACTTCGTTCAATAATAGTCAATATAAATATTTTCCCTTAAATAAGTTGTTCTAAAGTAAACTTTATGTCTTGTACAAAGAATCGGCGAAATGATTTGTTAGTCACTATATAGATTTGCAAAGTGCACTTACCTCCTCTTTCTTCGCCAACTAGCGAATGATTTTCTTGAATGAATGAGTCAATGACTGATCTGGGTTTTCTGTGAACTATGAACTTCAAGGTTCATTCAAGAGACTTACCGATTCGTTCGGAAACATTGAAAAGTTAAACTCAGGGTAAAAATTGCTCTATTTTGATGATAAATTTTAATTGAGTATTGTATGTATCAGTAACGAGTTCGCAAAAATAAGTAAATTTCGTGTCAAATCTGTTTTTTTTATTTGGAAATAATAATTTTTTATATGAAAATAATTGCTGTCAAATTGCTACTGACAAGTGACAGTGTCAAAGTCATGCCATGGCATGGTGTTATTTTGTCATTGTCAAAGGCAAGGAGTTTGCACGTGTTTATATTATTGTAAAATTTGTTATAAAATAAAATGAAAGTGCTATCAGAAGAACGAACACGAATTTTATTCGAGAAACTGACTAAATAGTGAGTAGTTTTACTAAGTGTCTTAGCTTAATTTACACATGAAACCCAAATATTGCGACATTTTATTGGGCTGTTAAACAAACGTGTGCCGCACTCATATTTCCGTACATAAACGCGATTATAACCTCTCTCTAATCAATAAACACTTGAAAAATATCCATATGAACGATGCAAGATGACAAATTAACATTTTCCTGTAATAAACTACTATTTAGACCAAAGTAAATAAACAAGCCACATTTTCATATTTCAGTATTGGTGTGAACGTCAAACTGCTCATAGACCGGCCGGACGGGACATACTGCTTCAGAGAAAAGAAGGACCGTGTCTACTATATATCAGAACGTTTATTACACTTAGCACAAACTGTAAAACCGGATAATTTAATAGCGGCTGGAACATGCTTTGGAAAATTCACAAAGACTAACAAATTTAGACTGCATATTACTGCACTGACGTATATAGCGCCGTACGCGCCATATAAGATATGGGTGAAGCCATCAGCTGAACAACAGTTCTTGTACGGACATCATATCATTAAGAGTGGTGAGTGAATTTACTTCTTAACTGCTACATACTGATAAAAATTGTTTGTTAATACTAACTTACTATGTTGGCTTGCATCATATAGTGTAAAACAAAATCCCTTTCTGATATCTGTCCCTAAATGTGATTAGATCTTTAACAATGTGACAGATTCTGATGTGGTTTTTTTAAAATAAACATATAGATATACAAATGAATGGGAAAGAAGTTTACAATTCCTTAAAGTTTTTGCACTTAGTAAATTACACATTCTTTTATCTTTCTCTTGAATCAAAAAGAATTATTTAGATCTATAATTGATTAAGGTTCGCAGAAGAAGTCACAGGAGAAAGCTAGCTTAACGCTAAAGAATAAAAAATGTTAATATAAATTTAATAAAAGAGGTATTAATATTATTTTGTAATAATGTCATTGCACCATTATTGCAACACAATTTACAAGAATGTTTTGTTAGAAGTAAAGCTTGTTGTTAATCAATAAACACATGTGAAAACTTTTAATAATTTTGTGTTATAGTTATTTATTACTATTTCTTTTGACTTCATATGGCCTTAAAATTTATTTATTTATTTCAATATTATCTGAAATGACAATTAAATCAATACAGAGTAATTTGTATAGAAAAGGAAAACCGACATTTTGACCATATTGTACTCATGTTTTTTCTTGCTTTTTTTTTTAAATATTCCTTATACTTACATGTATCTGTGAATATACAAAGAATAGAATTAGTTGATTTGTGTCACCTGGTCTCAAGTAAAACTTTATTTTTATTCATTTTAGTAGTTTATTAATGTTTTTTCTGAATAATTTAACAATTTAATTGTGAACACCAGACTATAGATAGTGTGTTGTATGATTAAAAAAAAAAGAACTATTTTTCAAATTGGGAAATGCCATCTCGGCATATTTATCTAAGAGTATAAGTAAGTAGTTAAGAGAGTGTATTTTGACAGCACAGTTGGTGTTGTGGCTAGGTAACTGGCTGCTGTGTCATGTGTCACGGGTTTGATTTTGGCATGTAACCAAACTTTGTGATCTATAAATTCCCTTTTTGCAGACAAGACATTGGGGCAATATTTGAAAAAAAAAACATTTAGCCATAGTGCAAAGAGAGGTTCGCGCGTCAATGTTTTTCGGCACCGCTAAATCAAAACAAAATGTCTGATAATCGCAGCTGTGTATTAATTAAAAAATAAATATGGTTGTTCATGTGTAAAAATACTACATTATGCCTAAAAAAAATTCAATGAGACAATAATGTTAACACTAGCTCTTAGTCTATGTTACCGCCTGTGCCATCTAGCTACATAAAGAGTCAGTTGATACCCAGACAATACAAGTAAAAAATACAACTTCCCGACCTCTGCCAATTTATAGGCACTGAATTAAAATTTTGCTAAAAGTGACAACCCTAAGACAGTAGGTAATTATATCTCGGATTGGGCCGGAGATAGCTTACTGCCCTTCTCTTTATACTATGACTTAGCTCATATATGTGTTAGCTATTACTAATCTCCCTTCTCTTCTTCTATCTCTTCCAATGTTTTCTGTTGGAATGCAAATTCTTACTCTTTTTTTTCCTATTCCAGGTCTTGGTCGCATAACAGAGAACACACCGAAGCACCATGGCGTAGTAGTGTACACAATGTCCGACATTCCAATAGGCTTCGGAGTGGCTTCCCGGACTACAGCAGAATGTAGACACGCCGACCCATTAGCTACTATTGTGTTCCATCAAGCTGATGTTGGAGAATACATACGGTCTGAAGACACGCTTACATAGTGTTTCAAGTATAATAAATAGGTTTTAATGTTTATTTGAGTTTTATTCATGGTTGTAGTTCAACATAGCAAAGGAAGGGGAGATTTTGGAAGGTATTTAGTAAACTGCTGTTATCTCTGGTATTTTAGGACATCCCTAATAATACGCTTATGTGCGATCGTCATGAATCGTGATTGCGCGCAATGCATTTTTTTATGGGATAGTTCGGCAAACGAGCAGTCGGATTACCTAATGGTAGGCAATCAGCGTCGCCCGTGGACACCCGCAACTCGTAATGAGTTACGAGTTCGTAGCAGGCCTTTTGGGGATAAGGCTTTTGGATATTTAAGGATGGGGAGGGATTGGGCCTCCGGTAACCTCACTCACACGGTGAAACAACGCTGTGGTTATTTCGCGCCGGTTTTCTGTGGGGCTGTGGTATCACTCCGGTCGAGAATTCGACTCATTCGTCCTGAAGCTTGGCTCTCTCATACTTAAAATGCATGCATGGCATAGATAAACTGCACAGATAATTATAAAGTAGTCAGAGAGTAAATTGGGTGTTCTATAATTTTATTGGACGTATTGTTGACGACAAGAGCGACCGTTGAGTAAGCTAGTAGCACGGTCAATAACAATCTGAAAAGATTCTAGTTAGGTAGGTATAGAGAAATTGAGGTCAGGAAACGTAATTTTTTTCTGTTGTGAATATAATATGTTATATATAGCGCATAAAATTGTTCGGTGTTATAAATAAAGCATAAAGCTATAACGCTTTTTATACGCGTTTTAGACGTACAATCGTTTTGAATCTTTTCACCACCACAACACAATTATTGCATGAAGGACATTTGAATCCTATCTGTTTGCAATTATAGGCCAGCGTAGTAAGTTCGCGCGAATTGCGAATGGATTAGAATAGAAAAGATAAACATTTAAGTTGCATGATCGTCAATTGGGATCTTTCGACTATACAGTATAGAATATGTAGGAATATCTAACGAGTTGAAAATCTTTGTAGGTATGAGAAAAATCGTGGGATCTCTAAAAATAAAGGAGATGTCGAGCTTTTGTATAGACGTTGGTTTTTTATTGAGATGAAATCCAACCTATCGTCACTTTTGATTCATACTTAGTGAGATTTTATGTAAATAATAAGCATTTGTTTAAAAGGGTACCTATATTTAAATATTACTAAAACGCACACTAGTGCCATCTGTTAACGCAAACAATAAATTAATAACAGTTACAGGAGAAAACTAATAGATGGCGCTGTATCTAACTTGTATTTCAGCAACACCCCTGTATACTATACAGTCCCTTCTTTTATTACACCCTCATTTATGGGAAGAGTGGTTTGATTAATAGTAAACAATCACAGCTAGTTTCATTAGAAGGGATATAAGGACTCATGATCATAGTTTATTAATAAGAAATAAAACGAATTGTATCTTTATTTATTTGTTGCGTTAGGGGTTAGATACCTACAGTGTGAATTAGCTTAGCCAACAATTTTGGAAATTATTAAAAACTGAAATTATTTATATGAATAATAATTATTGGTGACAAGATAATATATTATGACAATGAGAATAATTTCGTGATGTTTTTGATAGTAATTATGTAGGTTCTATTGAGGGTTCTATTTATGTATCTAGGTACTAACTATATCTGTAAAGAATTAAAATTAATCGTAAAAAGCGTTGCTAAGTTATTTTTCCATCAATTTCTTTGATAATTTTAGTTAATTATGCTGTTTGACTAAAGGAGAAATTTTCTACAAAAGAAAAAATGTAAAATGACCTGACTGAAATTACTGGAATACTCGGAAAACACGTCATTTTACGAAAATAACTAGGTAGTTTATATTTCTTTTCGACTGAGGAACAATAATATAGGTAGATATGTAGCTAGATACCAATTCGGCAAATAACAATTTCAAAAAAGGAATGTTTGTGGATTTGACGTTTGTTTTTTTTTAAAGTCACAGAATTTGATTGACATTCTGCCAGCGTAGGAACTTTATCACTAGATCCCGGTCCTCACAGATAAAAGTCCGGGTCCATTGTAATCTCACATGCTTTCACTGCGCCCCTCGTAAAACTTGGGTTGGTTAAAATCCTATGTTACGATCGCTGTACTTTACTTTATCTTAGGAGTTAGAACTGTGCTGTGCATTGGGCATTTAAATGCAAATTTATTTTATAATCTTTCATTTCGTATTAAGGTTTAATGTTCTATGACAACACTTAACGTCACGTTTAGTTATTGTGGAAAGTAAGCAGAAACACACTTCACAAGGTAGGAGTTTCAGTAACCTTTGTTTTTGAGGAGAAAATTTATTATGTGACTTCTCCCGCGCTGGGTGGGGCAAGAGGAGTGTCAAACACTTCCATATTGCGGAGTGAGAATTACTGGCAAGCCGTCTGCTCTTTTTGCGAAACTGTGATGATCGCAAAGGAAGAATGGGAGCGCGTGAGGGAACTATCCTCCTCACGCACCAGCCGCTACAGTAGGCGTCACTTCGTACGTTGGGGACAGAACGACGATCTCCGGCCACCGTAAGCCCGGGTCTGCTCAAGGGCAGTTTACCGCCCGACCAGAACCAGAACGTTGGCAGTGTGGCGTGTGGCACGAAGTGTTCCACGCACGCTTCAACGATCCAGCTGACCGCCCCAGTCCACCGGGGCTGACGTTGACCCATGGTGGCATCTTACTGACTGAAACACTCTGAAGGAACGGGGTCCTTCTCCTGCTCTAGGCCGAGGCCGCGGTACCTTATTGACCTTGAATTCTCTATCCCGGCTGAACATCAGCCCTATTGGGCCCCATGTGGCATTGTCCAATAGTTCTTTAAACCGCACGCGGAATGCTACGTTGCACATACTGGGGTCTGGTTCTAGTAATGCGGCGAGCTAGCTCCCTGTCCGCAGACCCAATAATATACCTATAATTAGATTATACCCGAGCGCGACCCTCACAAATTACAAAAGTACTTAATAAACAATAATTAAAATTAATCTTCAATAAATTCACTAAACCTGTGTTGGTCAGAGAGACCCTAAAGTTCCGAAGAACAACGAATATTCAATTTAATACGATATTAATCTCTTAAATCTTATTTTGTTTTAAACCTTTTGTGTACAGCGTAAATGGATGGGATTGGGGTCATATATTACAACAATACTAATAAATAAATTGGACTTGTGTTAGTTTGTTTGTTATTATTTCTCGCCATATCTAATTGTGAGAGGAAAAACACCTAATTTTTATTTGAAAGTTTTGATGTGAGTGTGTATGAATAATGTTTTACTGACTTTAGAAAACTTCAGAAAACGGGCATATTTTTCTATTCGATTATAAAAGGGACATCTATCAAAAATGTCCTTTTAAACTAGTTTTAGCCGTAAATCATACTATAGTCCCGGTATTCATTGATCTGCCGAATAAGAAAGCTAAGCCATTAGCTGTGACATATCACGCTTCGAAAAACAGGAGCTGAGAACATAGGCAGGACTATATTAAATTTTAAAAGTAAACTGTTTTGGAAAAGAGTTACTCAATAACTAACCTCTTTTTATACAATAAAATAAATTAAGATAGGTATTATAAATAGGTAAAAAATGTTCATGTCATCAACTTATATGCATATTACAACACTTATACAATACTTGGAATCAACTTTTAAGCAAAGTTATCTATGCTTGTATTAGGTTGATTCGCTCTTCCACTTTACAGTAGTTAAGAACATAAAGATGAGAAATAAGATACGACTAAAATATATTTTGTAAAGAAGAAGAAAAAACGTATGTTACTTTTGTAGTTTTAAGTATCTCCATTGATTTACAGACAAAGTCGCGGGCAAGAGAAAGGATGGCTATAATTGTGTGGTCGGAGACGTAAAAGGTGGTCCCTTTTTGTTTCAAGGGTCTGTTGTCCCATCTAATGTCATTATAGCCCCGTGCCCGTCATAGAAGGCCCTTAATAGAGTACTGTTTAAATGGATTTCATGATACATTTTAGTATTGTCTAGTAGTGAAAGTGTGGAGTTAGTTTCCGACCCTAAATAGGTTTTCTCTGTTCTAGTTTTGGCTTGTTTTAGATTATAGGTTTTGAATAGTACCTACCCATTGTTAGAAAAGTCTATCATCGTGTTAACTTTGACAACGTTTTGTTACTATGCTGAGTGAATCATTAGTTATTTGACCAGACTGTTGAAATATATATTTATTTGTATTTTGTTCAGTTTATGGCAAAAGGTTAATAGGTCACCTTTGCTTACCTTCAGCCGGGGTTTGGGGTCAAGCGTACTAGTAGGAGAAACTCATCAAATGACTTCTCCCGCTCAGGGTAAGGCGTCGAATGAGCGCGGTTCTGCGGGCGGCGAGTAAGAGTAACTCGCCGCCCGAACAGAACCAGACCCGAGCGCGTAGCGTTCCGCGCGCCTCAAAGAGCCAATGGACCACCACAGACGGGGCCCTATAGGGCTGATATTCAGCCGGGGTTGCGGGGTAAGCGCAATGAGGCACCGCCACCTCGACTTGGAGCAGGAGAAGGAACGGGGTGATTTTTAGTCAGTAAGATTCTGGCACTTCCTTTTATCCCACCCTGGGCGAGAGATGTTTGTTAATTTTCCACCCTTAAAAAATACAAGACATGTAAAAGACCTGCAGTATCTAGATTACGGCATTCATAATGTAACTGTAAATATGTATTTTTAATCAACTAGCATCCGCCCGCGGTTTACCCCGCGTCATGTCATATTCCAGGGTATATCCCATGCCTGTGCCAAATTTCATCTAGATCCGTCCTGTTCTTTTGACTTGATTGAGTAACAAACATTCAAACTCGGAATATACACTCTGGAACGAGCAAATAGCTTCACTAAGAGGACTGACCGACAGACTGACACTATATCTTCAAAATATTGTTTGACGTTCAAAAGTGCCTTTAAGGGTATAATTGGAATAAATGATTTTCGACTTTGACAATCATCGTAACTTTCGCATTTATAATATTAGTAAGATGAAAACAAAAAGTGTATAAATATGGT